TAAAAACCACAGGCAGAAATAGTTTTGAAGAAATAAATGGGGTAAAAAAAATAGAAAGGAAGAATAAAACAGACAAAAATATTATAACATGCACATAAAAAAAAAACGTAAAGATGCTAATTAAAAGAGATATATACATTTATGTGTCCTGTGTTAAACGGCTCTCTGGCATTGAACACAGGAGCAGCAGAAGCATCTCTTTACTGGACGGCTGACCTTAATGTGGATCAGAGATGAAGCAGCAGGACCTCCTTGATGGCGTTCGGTTGTGATGTTATGAGATGAGCCGAGGCTTCGAGGCGTGTTGTGAGTAATAGAGGGGGCATTTCCCCCGAAGCGTGTGTTGAGGCCTGATTCATTTAGGGGAGGGGCCAAAATTGATGATGTCCAAAGCCTTGCTACCGTGAGACCATGCGACCGCTTTGGGAAGTGGTTCGGAAAGCGCAAGAATTTTGACAGGCATTTAAACAGCCTCAGGATTCAGTCCAGATGTGGGAGTTTGTAGGACAGCTGCTGTCAGCTGGATAGATTCTAAGAATAGATTGGTTGTTTTTCAAACCAATCTAGCTGGTTAAAACCGTTTTGTTAGATTAAACAATCTAATGATCAAAATCTGAGCAAGCCACCGGACACAATTGTAACATTAGTGTTAAGTAGTACTGCTCTCTATTGAAAAGCTAACAATGTTAGTTGTGTCATCTGTAAGAGCCAGACTCTCAATCCTTTTGAAAGTTGCAATTAAACTGAATTATTTTAGCTAATGAGACTAATGTGCACTGGTTTGCCCTAGTAAAAATATAGATTGCTGCCAAATTAGGTCGGTTTAGACAAAAGATTGCTTGAACACATAACTTCCAACCCGATTAAAAACAAAACTGTTTGAAAACTATTATGTTTGAATAAAAATCAGTAACACCTTTCATTACGCTCGCCCAATTTGCACAAACACTTTTACTCTCTGCTTGGTTTTATTTCACTAAAATGGCAGAAAAACAGTGAACCTTAAATGACTGTTCTAAGACCCAAAAAAAAACTTACAAAAGATTTTATTATACACACCAACCATTAACAATGTCAAAGAAAAAAAAAAGAAAAACAATTTTTATATTAACAGATTTTAACAACAAGACAAAGAACAAAGACAAAAAGTTAGCTGCATTCCACCTTAAAATGCAGGAAATGGTGTTTCACAATCTAAATTTCAACATTTAGACGGCATCAAGGATAAGTCAGAACTTTTCAGAACCAAACTGCTGCAAAATAGATCTTTTGCAACACATTTCTCTTGAGTTTCAGAACTTATAGAAACTGGAGAGAAGGACTGGCTGATGATTGACTGAGACAAAGAGGACCCATGCTGTGCCCTGACTGCAGAGCTGCAAATGGATGAAACTCAAGCTTTCCAAA